TGTGTCTGTGTGTGTCTATGTGTGTCTGCAAGTGTCTGTTTGTGTCTGTGAGTGTCTGTGTGTGTCTGTGTATGTCTGTGAGTCTCTGTGTGTCTATGTGTCTGTGTGTGTGTGTATGTCTCTGTGTGTGTCTCTGTGTGTCTGTGTCTGTGTGTCTGTGTGTGTGTCTGTGTGTGTCTGTCTGTGTGGGGGGGCAGAGTAGGGGGAAGGCAGGCACAGGTATCAATTAAGGATGTTGATCTCCCCCTGAACCCTATCATACTGATCTCTTGGGTCAATCCAGAGAAATCATTCTGTTTTATTCAATAGACAAAGGAAACTATTTTCTTTCTGTTGACTTATTTGCTGCAATACCTACGCTTTGTTATTCTTATTTCTGTGATTATGTTGAGGGCAATCTTGCAAATTTGTACTTAAACATGTTTTTTAATCCTCACTCGGGGATATGTTTTTATTGATTTTAGGGAGAACAGAAGTGGGGGAGGAAACATCTGTGGGACCTGCAGCCTTTCAGGGTCTGGGCTGATACTCCAGCCAACTGAGCCACTGGGCCAGGGCCCACATGTAGACTTTTTAAAAATATATATTTTTATTGATTTCAGAGAGGAAGGGAGAGGGAGACAGACAGAAACATCAATGATGAGAGAGAATCATTGATTGGCTGCCTCCTGCACGCCCCCTACTGGGGATCGAGCCCACTACCCTGTCATGTGCCCTTGACTGGAATTCATTCCACAGGCCGATGCTCTATCCACTAAGCCATACCAGCTAGGGCCCCCCACATGTATACTTTTCAGAAGCTAATCAGCAAAATAAAGCCTATCAACTGTGGCACCTGGGAAACAAATTAGTGTTTCAGATTCTAGTTTTCTTGTGAACATCACAACGCGTCCGGCGACGGTAACCATTGTCAAACACGTACAGCTGTGCTCTGCCCACTCAGGTACTTTCTGTGGGAAAACCAAGACTCCGACCTGCATCCCCTGTCCCTCCGATAGCTTCTCCCGCAGCCCTGGACAGGAGGCCTGCAACCTGTGCCGGCGCTGCGAAGGTAGGACCCCGGGGAGTCTTCACTCGGAGACGGGCGGGGGGCAGGGGCCCCGAGATGTATTCCCTAGGGGACTGGCCTCCCAAAGGTCAGGGGTCCGAGGGGCGGGGTCCCCTGCGCATAGGCAGGCCCAGGAAAATAATTCACTGTCACAGCAATGACATGTGGACTGAGCTTTTTAAATGTCAGAGGAAACACTCATTTGACCAGAGAGAAAATTTTCATCAGCAAAATGTAAAAATGTCTTCTATTGGGATTCAAAAGTGCACTTTATCTTTTAAGATCATTGGGAACATTTTAAAAAGATTAGATATAGATATAGATATAGATATATAGATATATAGATAGATTTCAGAGAGGAAAGGAGAAAGAGAGAGAGAGAGAAGCATCAACGATGAGAGAAAATCGTTGATCGGCTGCCTCCTGCACGCTTCCCATCGGGGACTGAGCCCCAAACTCGGGCATGTGCTCTTGACCGGAATCGAACCCGGGACCCTTCAGTCTGCAGGCTGACGCTCTACCCACTGAGCCACACCGGCCAGGGCATTTGGGAACATTTGAAGCAGAGTGAGCCTGGGTCTTATTGCAGAACGTAAATGTGCTTCCTGGTCTTGGGCATCCAGTGTGATGTGACACG